GAGAGAGAGAGAGAGAGAGAGAGAGAGAGAGAGAGAGAGAACGTGCATTAGGTTTCCCCAGATTGCTCTGTTGCTCTGTACGGTGCGCGGGCTTACTTGTGTCCGATCTCGTGTGCGATGGAATAGAGCGAGCCGAATCCCTTGCCCTCGTTAATGCTACACGACGTTCTCCGCTCGCACATGGAGCCGACGTGAGCGTAGCCTTAAAGGCAAATAGCAGGCAGTCATTCACTCATTCACACACGCGCAGCAATTTCCCGCAAATCTCTCTAACGAGAAATTCTCGGGTGTGCGGAAATGTGAGAGGCGAGAGTTCAATGATCGCGGAATTTCTAAAAATTCATTTGCGTACAAATTCGCAATCGTATTTGCTCAGAATGTCTAGTTTAATTTAAAAGCTCGGTCGATGCGGCAACGCCTGGTTTGTCACGTATGCACTTGACAACCGAGACGACAGGCGCGCACGCGTTTATTTCACATCGAATAAAATACATTATAATCGCCTTGGATTAAGTTGAGAGCGGAAATAGACGGCCGGTTAAATTAAATTGGGATGTAAAATGGAAATCGTGTTATTGTTATTTTATCGTTATTGTTGCGGCGTGCGTGTCGTTGTGTGAATGTATGTGTTACTGAACGTGCTGTATCGGATTGTGTTGTATTATTGCTGTATTTTGGTGTGTTGTGTCATGTTGTGTTGTATTGAGCTGCTGTGTTGTGTCATGTATCATATCATATTATATCATATCATATCATATCATATCATATCATATCATATCATATCATATCATATCATATCATATCATATCATATCATATCATATCATATCATATCATATCATATCATATCATATCATATCATATCATATCATATCATATCATATCATATCATATCATATCGTATCGTAACGTATCGTATCGTATCGTATCGTACCACATCATATCATATCATATCATATCATAATTATCATATTATGTCATGTCATGTCATGTCATATTATGTATAATATCATAATATCATATCAGAAGTAGATAATAGGGAACGCCTTCGCCCTACTAATTATATAATTTCCTGCTATATTATAATATGATGATAGCGCCAGGCTATCTTGTTACCCAACGCTAGGGCTTGGAACGGTAATGGAACAATAACGAGAACAGGGCAGAATTAATTGGCTTAAAGTACTGGCCTATCGTCGGAAGCAGGTTAGACACTGCTACTGAGAGGTGTCGTTAGTGTCACCCAAGCTTCATACCTGTCACGGATCTCTCCTTCTTCTTTTGAAAGGTGACGTACATGTCATATCTGAAATGCCAGACGAGATTCTAGACGTACTGCCGTCTGCACATATGGGTCAAGCTTCTCCACTAATAACGTTTGCAACGATAAGAATGAGGGGGCAGTTGTCAGAAACATTGTAAAGTTAATGCTAACGTTAACGCTAAGATAGCACTTACGAATAATGTTAATGTAACGAGAATAGTGTTGACAGAAGCGCATCGCAGTTATGAGAAAACATACGATAACAGGAACTTCATAATTTGATGTCACAAGGCTGCTGTTTGGATGAGAAATCGATCACAAAATTCAAATTCATACACAAGTATTGTACATCACAGAAATTTATGCATATTTTGATGGTTAACCACATATAAACAATATCTGATGAAAGAACGACACGGTCATAAATTTATTCTACACTGCAAGACATGAGAAAACAAGACGCGAGCGTCATGACTGATCAAAATATTGTTCATCAAAATAAGTGTGTTTTCCATGAAAAACACACAGTTTACTAATTAATATAAAATATAATATAACTATAATGATAATTCTTAGTGTAAATGTGTTATTTTCATCTTAGTATTAAAGTTACGGGAGGGTCTGGGCTCTCGTAATGTTAAGATGAACTTTCCGAGAATATTTCGTTCTCGTAACTTTACGATATTTCTGTCAACGGTTTACGAGTCGGAGTTAATGTTAAGACTAATGTTAAACCTAATTTTGTTCCTGACAACGGGCCCCAGAATATGTTTTTCGGCTGCATCTTGATCAATTGGGCATTGATATAAGGCACAAGACTTTTATTTATTATATATCCATATTATTATATATCTTATCATCTAAAGCATAAAATTATTATTATTATTACTATTATTATTATTATTGTTGTTGTTGTTGTTGTTGTTGTTGTTGTTGTTGTTGTTGTTGTTGTTGTCTAGTTAAGTAGGAATTACCCCGTGATGAGCACAGCGTTATCCCAGTGTCCGGCAGCACCTCCCGCTGGGTTGCGTTGCTCCTGCAGCACCCGGAAACGACTGAGCAGCGCTTCCGCATCCCCATCCTGCGGTAGGTGGCGCTGTGGTAGGTAGACGTGAGCAGAGGTCAGACTTCATGCAGACATACGATGAGGACGTAGAAGATATCGCGCCAAGCGCTCAATCGCGTCGGAACTTGGCAAAGTTACGCTGCGCATGCTCAGATTAGTGCCTCGCGTCACACAGCAGCAGTGTTGTGCGGGAAACAGACATAGTAGCAGGAGTAGATAATAGGTTCCTTATTATAGTAGTTCCTTATTATCTACTCCTGATAGTAGGAAATGATAGTCGAAGTCGAGAGAGAGAGAGAGAGAGAGAGAGAGAGAGAGAAGAAGAGAGAACAGCCGTGCGCGTGTGGTGTGTGTGGGATGCGTGCGTGCATGCGCGTGTGGTGTGTGTGGGATGCGTGCGCGTGTGTGTTGGATGTGTGTGGATGCCTGTGCGCGGTGGTGTGTGTTGTGGGATGCGTGCGCGTGTGGTGTGTGTGGGGCGTGCTCGTGTGGTGTGTGTGGGGATGTGTGCGTACATAGCGCATGTGGGTTGTGTGTGGAATGCGTGCGCGGTGTGGTGTGTGTGGTTGTGGTTGGGGGATGCCGTGCGTGCATGCGCGTGTGGTGTGTGTGTGGGATGCGTGCGCGTGTGGTGTGTGTGGGGATGTGTGCGTGCATGCGCATGTGGTGTGTGTGTGGGATGCGTGCGCCGTGGGTGTGTGTGGGGGCGTGCGCGTGTGTGTGTGGTGGGTTGTGTGTGGAAATGCGTGCGGCGTGTGGTGTGTGTGGTGTGTGGTGGGGGAATGCCGTGCGTGCAATGCGCGTGTGGTGTGTGTGTGGGATGCGGTGCGCGTGTGTGTGGTGGTGTGTGTGGGGATGCGTGCGTGCATGCGCGTGTGGTGTGTGTGGGATGCGTGCGCGTGTGGTGTGTGTGGGGATGTGTGCGTGCATGCGCAAGGTGTGTGTGTGTGGATGCGTGCGCGTGTGGTGTGTTGGTGTGTGTGGGGATGCGTGCGTGGCATGCGCTGTGGTTGTGTGGGATGCGTGCGCATGTGGTGTGGTGTGGGGATGCGGTAGCGTGCATGCTCATGTGGCTGTGTGTCGGGATGCGTGGCATATGGTGTGTGTTGGGATGCGTGCGCAATGTGGTGTGTGCTGGGTGTGTGTGGGATGCGTGCGTGCATTAGCGCGTGTAGTGTGGTGTGGGATGTGCGCCTGTGGTGTGGCGTGCGGTGTGGTGTGTGTGGAATGCGTGCGCATGTGGTGTGGTGTGGATGCGGTGCCGCATGTGTGTGTGTGGATTGCGGATGTGTGTGTGTGATGTGACGTGCGTGCATGCGCGCGTGTGGTGTAGTGTGGGATGCGTGCGCATGTGGTGTTGTGGTGTGTGTGGAGATGCGTGCGTGCATGCGCGTTGGTGAGTTGTGTGGGATGCGTGCGTGCATGCGCTGTTGGATGTGTGTGGATGCGTGCGCATGTGGTGTGTGTGGTGTGTGTGGGATGCGTGCGTGCATAGCGCCGTGTGGTTGTCGTGGGATCGTGCGCGTGTGGTGTGTGTGGGTGCTGGCATGTTGTTGGGTGCGTGCGCGTGTGGTGTGTGTGGGATGCTCGGCCTGTGGTGTGTGTGGGATGCGTGCGTGGTGTGTGTGGTGGGATGCGTGCGCATGTGTGTGGTTGGGATGGCGTGCGCATGGGGGTGGAGCGTGGTGTGTGGTAGTGGGGATGTGTAGCCGTACAATGCGCATGTTGGTGTGTGTGGATGCGTGCGCGTGTGTGTGTGTGGGGATTGCGTGGTGCATGCCGCATGTGGTGTGTGTGGATGCGTGCGAGTGTGGTGTGTGTGGGATGCGTGCGCGTGTGGTGTGTGTGGGATGCGTGCGCGTGTGGTGTGTGTGGGATGCGTGCGTGCATGCGCGTGTGGTGTGTGTGGGATGTGTGGCGCTGTGCGCTGTGTGTGTGTCGAATGCGTGCGTGCATGCGCGTGTGGTGTGTGTGGGGATGCGTGCGTGCATGCGCGTGTGGTGTGTGTGGGGATGCGTGCGTGCGTGAAGCGTGGTGGTGTGTGTGGGGATGCGTGCGTTGGTGGCGTGTGGTGCGCGTGGAATGCGTGCATGCATCGCGTGTGGTGGTGTGGGGCATGCGTGCGTGCATGCGCATGTGGTGGCGTGTGGATGCGTGCGCGTGTGGTGTGTGTGGGGATGCGTGCGTGCATGCCGCGTATGGTGTGTGTGGGGATGCGTGCGTGCGTGCGCGTGTGGTGTGTGTGGGGATGCGTGCGTGCG